GTCTGACGAGTGGTGCAAAAAACAACAGTAGCAATCTTTGAAGTTTATTGTGGAAATAAAGAATATTGCCCATAGAATGTAGTCTTTGCCAGTTCAAAACAAGGATTTCTAGCAAAATAAATAAGACCAGCTTTCTTTCTGTGAGTCTTATGTGTGTTTTATTGCTAGCAAGCCTTTCAACGTAACCAGTTTCCCAGCCAAGCTTCTCCTTAATCAGCATCTGGAGTTTTCATTAGCTATCTAAGGAGTTATTTGTTAGTGATCCTCATTAGTTTTGCAGTGGTCTGAAAATTATCTTGACATTTACTATCTTACTATATGAGATTTTATGGCTAGTTCTCAGTATGTACGAGCTAGGCTTCTGGTCATTACATTTTTTACAATATATACACATTTTACAGAGTCTCTTGTATCTTTACATTTTCTTTATAATTTTATATAAATAACTGGCATTCAGCTTATCAGGTTGCCTCATATCTTTATACATATAAATAAGGAAAACTATATATATACACACACACACACATATATATATATATACATATATATGTCACTCATGGTAGATGACAGTCATGTTAGATCTGTTGAGAAGTAGAAAGGTTTCATGTTTCTGCAAAATAAAAATTTTTAAATACTTTTCTAAATTGGCTTTATTGCCAAACTCTGCCATTTTTTATTGTATACTTTTGAGCACGCATGCTCAAAGTATTGTCCAGAGAGCAGGAACTAAAGTGATGTTTCTGCCTGCAAGTACTAGCCTAGTGAGGAAGAATTAAATCTTGTTACCTCAGAGATTTAGGCATGTTTATTGTAGTCTTCTCCCTTTGTTCCCCACTCCAAAAAATGCAAGACAAAAAGCCACCACCCGTGCAATAATATTCTTTAAAAAATTTTGTGTTTAACCATTTGTATTACTGTTTTGTAACTCATTCTGTGTCATGAGGGCCCCAAATGAGCCTGAAGTTAGAATACACTGATGAACAATACAGTAAGGTTTATTATATTCAGATGAAAGAGGAAGCGTAATACATGTAAAAAGTGTACAATGTAAGCAAATAACCAGTTTCAAGTAATGATCAGTGCTATTCTTTCAGCAGTTATTTTTTGAGAACCTGCACAATGCTAGATGCTGATCTATAAAATAAATCATAGGGTAGTGAGTAAAGGGGAGGTGCCGTCTTGTATTAGCTATTGAGGGAAGGCCTGTCTGAGGAGATGGCATTGGAACTGAGGCCTAAATGACAAGTAGAGGCAGAAGAGTTTCCTCACCCGGGCGCTGGGAGTCTATGGGTAGAATTCAGGATGGGAAACTTGGATGGGAAAAAGAATTACATCTCTATTTTCACTAAATTCAAACTGAAATTGTTACAGTCATGTGCCGCATGACAACGTTTTGGTCAATGATGGACCACAATGTGACAGTGATTCTATAAGATTAGAATAGAGCTTAAAAATTCCTATCACCTTCCTGCTCGGGGGGCTCGGTTGGAGTGTTGTCCTGTACACCGAAAGGTTGCAGGTTTGATCCCAGTTGGGGCACATATGTGAGGTAATCATTTGAAGTTTCTCTCTCATACCGATGTTTCTCTCTCTCTCTCCCCCTACTTCTCTCTAAGATCAATTTTAAAAAACATATCCTCGGGTGAAGATTTTTTTTCTTTTTTTTTTTTTTCTTCTTTAATTTATCTTTATTGTTGAGAGTATTACAGATATCCCATTTTCCCCCACAATTGATCCCTTCCACTTCACTCCCACCCGCTTCCCAGGCTTTCACTCTGTTATTAACTGTGTCCATGGGTTATGCATATAACTTCTTTGGTTAATCTCTTCCCACCCTCCACCCCCCTTCCCTCTTTCCTCTGAAATATGATCATCTGTTGCATGCGTCAGTGTCTCTGGATCTATTTAGTTCGTCAGATTCTTTTGTTCATTAGGTGCTTCTTAAAGAAGACCCTTCAACTATTCCTGTAGTGCTGGTCTGGTGGTGATGAACTCCTTTAGCTTTTTCTTATCTGTGAAGCTCTTTATTTGACCTTCAATTCTAAATGATAGCTTTGCTGGGTAAAGCTATCTTGGTTGTAGTTCCATGTTTTTCATCACTTTGAACATTTCTTGCCACTCCCTTCTGGCCTGTAAGATTTCTATTGAGAAATCAGCTGACAGTCATATGGGTGCTCCCTTGTAGGTAACTAATTGCTTTTCTCTTGCTGCTTTTAAGATTCTCTCTTTGTCTTTAACCTTTGGCATTTTAATTATGATGTGTCTTGCTGTGGGCCTCTTTGGGTTCCTCTTGTTTGGGACCCTCTGTGCTTCCTGGACTTGTAAGTCTATTTCTTTCCCCAGGTAGGGGAAGTTTTCTGTAATTATTTTTTCAAATAGGTTTTCAATTTCTTGGTCTCTTTCTTCCCCTTCTGGCACCCCAATAATACGAATGTTGGGCCTCTTGAAGTTGTCCCAGAGGCTCCTTATACTATCTTCATATTTCTGGATTCTTTTTTCTTTTTGCTCTTCTGGTTGGGTGTTTTTTGTTTCCTCATGTTCCAAATTGCTGATTTGATTCTCAGCGTCCTCTACTCTACTGTTGATTCCCTGTAAATTATTCTTCATTTCAGTTCCTGTAGCCTTCATTTCAAATTGGTACTTTATTATGTTATCGATTTTCTCAGTTATTTCCCTAATAGTCTGCTTAAACATCCTTATAAACAAAATTCTGAACTCTGTATCTGTTAGCTTGCTTGGATCTATTTCATTTAGTTCCTCTTCTAGAGATTTCTTCTGTTCTTTCCTTTGTGACATGTTTCTTTGCCTCCACATTTTGGCTGCTTCCAGGTGTTTGTTTCTATGTATTAGGTAGAGCTGCTATGTCTCCTGGAATTTGTAGAGTGGCTTTGTGTAGTAGGTGTCCTGTAGGGTCCAGTGGCTCAGCCTCCCCAGTCACCTGAGCTGGGCCTTCTAGGTGCTCCCCTGTGTGGGCTGTGTGCACTGTCCTGTTGTAGTTGAGCCTTGGTTGCTGTTGGCGTCACTGGGAGGAATTGACCCCCAGGCCAATCAGCTGTGAGGACCAGCTGCAACTACAGCCAAAGAGCTGCTGTGCTGGAGACACCCCTATGGAGCAGGATTTACTTCAGTGGAGCTTTGGTGTTCACCAAGTGCGCCCCTTGAGTGTGTCACTCGTGGATGTGGTAGGGTTGTAATCCAGCGTGGTCGAGTCTGACCACCAGGTGCACTGTCTCTGGGGCCTCCCGGGAGGTGCAAAGTCAGCCTGTGCCAGTGCCTTGCCCAGGGCCACCCAGCATGAGCTACACAGCAAACCGTAGTTGGCTGCTACTTGTGCTGGGCTTGGAGGTGCCCAGGAGAGGCCAAGCTATGAGCCAATGCAGCTGCCGCTAGTGCCAGGCCTGGGGCCGCTTATCAAGCCGTATGGGGCCCGCTGCTGCTTGTTTGAGAGATTTTAGGAAAGTCCTAAGCATGAGGCTCGAGAGGCCACTTGCACAGAAAAGCCCCTGGAAATGGCCTGGATGAGCTGCAGGTGGGGAGGGGCGGGGCCTCCGGGAATCACGGGGCGGGGCCAAAGGTGTGAGTCAGGTGCTGGCGATTCAAACATGGCGCCTGCCTGCCGGCTGTGTGCGGGGAGGACTCGCCACAGGAGCCATGGCCTCCGCCAGCCCTTCTGCCTGGGAGGAAGCCGCCCTCCGCCTCTCGCCCGGATCTCAGGCAGGTTAGTTCCTCCCCGAGTGTCCCGGGTCCTTTCAGGCTGCTGCCCGGCGCTGGGCTCAGAGGGAGCGTCCGAGTGAGTCCGTGCCGGGCCCTTTAGAGGAGCTGCTGGGGCTCCCGCAGCCTCCGCGACCCTCAGGGACAGTCCCCGCTGGTTTCACAGCCCGGAGTTGTGGGGACGTCTCTTCCCAGCCCTGGAGCCCTGGGCTGGGGGCCTGCTGTGGGGCTGGGACCCCTCACTCCTCCGGGAAACCCCCACCGCCGAGATTCCCTCCCGGGTTTAACCCTTGGCACCGGGAGTGGGCCCGAGGCCGTGTCTTCGCGATTCAGCCCCGATCTGCCCGCGTCTCCTCCCCTCCTCCCGGTCTCGGTGCTTCTTCAGCTCCCTGGTTGTGGGGCTTCTGTTCAGCCGGATCTCAGGAGGCTCTGAGTGACGGTGGTTCTGTACTTTANTCCTCCCCTCCTCCCGGTCTCGGTGCTTCTTCAGCTCCCTGGTTGTGGGGCTTCTGTTCAGCCGGATCTCAGGAGGCTCTGAGTGACGGTGGTTCTGTATTTTAGTTGTCATTTTGATGTGGTTGTGGGAGGCGGCGGGTGCAGCTCTTACCTACGTGCCATCTTGTTTCTCCCCTCGGGTAAAGATTTTTAAAAAATTCCTATCGTCTGGTGACATCAGAGCTGTCCTAACATAGTAGTACAACACATTATTTACGTGTTTGTGGTGACGCCGGTATAAACAAACCTACTGGGCTGCCAGTCATATAAAAGTCTAACACATACAATTATGTACAGTGCATAATACTTGATAATAAATGACTGTTACTGGTTTATGTGTTTGCTATAATGTACTTCTAATCATTATTTTAGAGCTCACTCTTTCCACTTATATAAAAAATTTGCTATGAGACAGCACGCCATGTTACGCCGCAGCAGCACACCATCTTGTAACTTCCTTTTTAAAATACATCTTGTGTTTACTGCGTCTCTTGGTTGAAACATCTTCTCCTGTGTTTGATTTACTCTTGAGTTGTTTTGCGCAGAGCAGTAGGCTGTGCGGAGCAGTAGGCTGTGCCGTGGAGCCTAGGTGTGCAGCAGGCTAGACCGTCTAGGGTTGTGTCAGTGCCCCCTGTGATGTTCGCGCAACGAAGAAATGGCCTGAAGACGCATTTCTCAGAATGTGCCACCATCGTTAAGTGGCACATGAGTATTTTTAACTACCCAAACTTACCTACACTTGTCATATTTAGAATAAGAAAGTTTGGTATTGACGGTTTATTGCACTGTTTCAGAACAATGAAATGGTGGAGCTGCAGAGAATTCGGATGAAGGATGAAATACGAGAGTATAAATTCCGAGAGGCCCGCCTCCTTCAGGACTACACGGAGCTAGAAGAAGAAAACATCACGTTGCAGAAACTTGTGTCCACACTGAAGCAGAACCAGGTGAGGTTTAAGAAGTTATTTGGTTGCACTCCAGATGGGCCACATCTTCTGACCACTAGGTTAAATCTTTATTTCTCAGCTAGGAACCTGTCGAAATTTCCCTTAATTTTCCTATAATAATTATGTGCTGAAACTTCCCAAGGATTCTATTTTAGCTAAGATTTAGAAGGCAAACCTAGAAGTAGTATACTAGGGTAAATTAAGAAAAATTTTAGTTTATACTTTAGCTCTATGTTAATTTATTACGTAGTCATATGTATTGTAATAAGTCATATGTATTGTAATAACTTAACCTGACAACTTATTAAAAGCCCAGATCTATAAACTTGTTTTGTCCTACAAGCTTAAGGTCTCCCAGCAAACCTCTCTTTCTCTAAATTGCATTTGTATCATATAAGGAAAGGGATTATGAAATATAAATCAATAAAAATAAAATCATAAGAAAAAGAAATGCCTGATTTCTTTTTTCAGCTGTAACCTGACTAAAAAGATTGCATATGTACATTTAAATACTTTTTTTGTTTTGTAGTGAAGCTTAGCTTAATTGCTTAATTTTTCTGATTTGCATTTTGGTTTATTACAGTTGTTAGTTATAGCATTCTCGAATCTATAATTTTAGAAGAATTTATTTATGAATACAACTTTATCAAGTAATTAAGCAAAGGTGGATTGTATGTTCAAGATCTTTTCAAGGTGCTTCCTCAACCACGACCCTACTGTGGCCTAAACACTATTATAACCTCCCATATCAGGTCAGCACACTATGTGCCAGGCGCTGTGCTAGGCTAGAAAGATACAAAATCCACAGGGCAGGATTCTCGCCCTCAGTAGACTGAAAGGCCAGCCCAGATGTATGCTTCTACTTATGTTTTCTGCTCAAGTTGGTAGCTCGATCCCAAACTATTACTGGTTTTGATAGATAAAGGGGTTAAGAGAAGAAAGGAAATATCTAAAAGAAGAAAAGCAATGTAGGTATTGATACAATTGAAATTTGACTTCTGATCATTGCCATTTCCCCCCATCTTTGGAATGTGGGGGAACAAGATGTCTTCTAAGGAGTGCAGAGGGGGGCTTCAAACCTTGAGAAAAGGGTTACAGGATATCACCATGGGATCTTACCTCATCGCCTCCCCCTTAAGCCTGGATCACTGCATGTGAGTGGAGGGCTCTCAGTACCATGGGCATTCCAGCTCTTGAATTCACTGGGATCATTGAGCTCGCAGTGGAGAAAATTAAAAATAATTTTTTAAAAATTATACTTCTTTCCCTGGCTGGTTTGGCTCAGTGGTTAGAGCATCAGCCTGCTGACTAAAGGGTCCCGGGTTCGATTCCGGCCAAGGGCACGTACCTCGGTTGCAGGCTCGATCCCCAGCCCGGTCAGGGCAAGTGCAGGAGGCAACCAATTGATGTGTCTCTCTCACATCAATGTTCCCCCCCCCCCACTCTCTCTGAAAAGCAATGGGAAAAATATCCTTGGGTGGGGATTAAAAAAAAATTATGCTTCTCAGAAACTTCTTAAAATAAAACAATTTTTTTTTGTGGTTTGTTTTTTTGGTCTCTGATGAAGTATGTAGAGTACTTGAAGCAAATATACTTGAAGCGCAGGTATTTAAAGTGGCCATTACTCGTCATTCCTAAAAGTCCTCCCTGCCTTCTGCGTAGGCAGGAGCTCGGCCAGACAGCCTCGCTGTGGGATCTCCCCACTCACGGGGGAGACGCGTTTACTCAGGAGGTTAATTCAGGCCAGTATTAGGTATTCTTGAAAGGCTGCCAAGGTATCCCGTGTGTACTCAACCCAGATGCTGCTTCTGTGGGAATTTGTACGAGCCGACTTCTGTTTACGGTTTACCTGCCCTTCCACCCATAATTGGAACATGGGAACCAAATGCTTCACTCAGAAGTCTGAAAAAAAAAAAAAGGAAAATGTATATATCTCTTTAGTTGTATTTTCTAGATGCAATATGATAGTTTCCCAATTAAGTGTCTAGTTAATGAATTTTAAATCGTTTCCCATACAAAGGGCCATTCTGGCTCATTCCCTGGCAAATGGGTACACTGTCGTGTCCCAGTTCTCTCCCAATTAAGAAAATGCTGGTTTGTTTTTCTCCTACTGTTGGCCGTGATTCACACGGTTAGCCTCTATTATAAACTGTCTTTATAATTAATGAAATAGTAAATATAACAATTTATACCACAGCTTTTTTTCAAGCAGATGATGATGGTTGGCTTTCAGTCTCAAAATTCGTCTAATGTTGCTTTAAACTGAAGCTCCCTGTACAAAGTACCCTCTCCAGCCTGTTTGATGTTTGTCTCCGCAGCAAAGCTGTTAGCATTGTAAAATACTTAGTTCAAAGAACTAGAAGATTCTTTGCTTCTGAAGTTCCATTTTCCTTGTTATTTTCTAAATAATTGTTGTTTAAATAGCACTTTTTGCTTCCTTTATAGTTTCTATATATTGGTTTATTTTCCATCTCCCTCTACTACGATATAGCACCTAGAAGAGAGCCTGACCCATAGAAGGCATTAAATAAATACTTGTTGAAAGAATGAATAAATTGTTTTAAAATTTCTCTTACATTCATTCTTCAACTTAGAGAGGAAACTAAAATTTAAGGTAATTATTATTTACCAAACCACTTTTTATATGTGGTCCTAAATATGAAATACAGGGAACATCAAAGAGTTGACTGAAAGCTCTAGCCACATCGCCCTGTGTGCTGCTTTGGTTCTGTGTCCAACATGAAATCAGGTCCAACCTTACAAATGCATTTTTCACCTTTATGCTTTTTAAAACAAAGAGAGAGATCAAGTCAACTGTCAGTTCCCCAACAGACCACCTGAAAAATCCACCAGTGAAGCAAAACTGTTTGTTAGACTTCTTACATAAGAAACAACCTTGACAGGATCTTAGTAATGTCTCAGGATGGGAGATTTAGGGAAGGGTGTTCATAGGATTTTAGGATCTGGACTGAGTTTTGCCTCGTGGCAGACTGGTTGGGATAGACTGAGTTTGACATAATAGCTTTGAGTTGGGGAGATACAACAAAGTGAGCATCTTTTTTTACTTTTTTAAAAATAAATATGTCTTTATTGATTTCAGAGAGAGGAAGGGAGGGGGGAGAGAGAGAGAGAGAAACATCAATGATGAGAGATCATTGATCGGCTGCCTCCTGCACAGCCCCTACTGGGGAGCGAGCCCACAACCTGGGCATGTGCCCTGACCAGGAATCGAACCTTGAACTCTTGGATCACAGGTCGATGCTCAGTCTCTGAGCCATGCTGGCTGGGCAAAAGTGAGCATCTTGACATGAGTCTTGAGGAAGCAGTTTAGTTGGGTCTCATCTTCCAGGAGCGAATATTCCCTGTAAGCAGCTAAGTTTTTTATGCCTAGTCCCAGTATTGGTACTGGGGACGAGGGATAGGAAAATTTGCCTGGTTGCAGTATTACTTAACATAGGGTAGGAATTTATGTTAGTTTTAATTTTTAGAGATGTGATGGTGGAAGGAGGGGAGAAATAATAAATTCCATTTTCCTAATATCTCACATATTGAGGTAAAGCACTCAAATATGTGTTATCTAAGCATTGAAAACCCTTGTTAAAATTAATAATTTGATTATACTTCTATTATGAAAAACATTTCCTCCAGGGATATATTTCTGTATCAGGTAATAATATCATAAGAGACCTAGGGAATGTATTCAGTGCAGTTTGATTTCATTGAACCAGTATTTCCAGGGTATTTTTCTATGAGGCCATGTACTTTTTTAAGGACAAAAGACATGAACACTGGCTCAAAAAGCTTATAGTCCCAGTAGGAAAGGGAGGTAATAAACTCACAGCCATCCATATAATTGCATATTAAAGCTCTGTGTTAGGTTTGGGAATACAGGGCCACATTAGGATCATTAGAGTTTCTAACTCTGAAAAGATTATGGTATTCCCAACCCTTATGTGGATCAAAAATAAAAAGAGCTACTAAAGTATGAAGTTGCTATAAGGAATCCCACAAAGAACTGTTTTTTCTCATGGTAACTACTTTGATGCTGTTTTTAAAATATCAGTCACCAATTTAAAAAATATATATATATCTTTATTGATTTCAGAGAGAGGAAAGGAGAGGGAGAGAGAGAAATAGAAACATCATTGATGAGAGAGTCATTGATCGGCCGCCTCCTGCACGCCCCCGACTGGGGATCGAGCCTGCAACCCCGGGCATGTGCCCTGACCAGGAATCGAACCCCGATCATCTGGATCCTAGGTCGACGCTCAACCGCTGAGCCACGCCTGGCTGGGCAGTCACCAATTTTTAAGTGTCTTCTCATCCTGTTTCTTGGTTCATGCAGTTTGCTAGGGCTCTAATCGTATGATGCATCCTGGCAATGATGGCACATGAAGGAGTGAGCTGTTAGCTTGAGTGAGTCAACAAAGACTGGAGTTAGGATTAGATCCTTGACATGGGTCTTGATAAAATCTTGGCTGTGAATAGTCTCATAAGCAATTACTAAGGAAAAAAAAAAATCTTTTATTTGGCCAACAGTACCCCCTTTTGACCATTGGACCCCATAAAAGTAATCCTAAGACACATTTTCATCTCTGCTAAGAATTGAATTTATATTTATATATAATTTATAAAGAAATCATCCTGTGTTACCTTAAGAGTGTATATACTGTGTGCTTTTGAGATTTATTTTGTAGACCAACATTTTGATTTTTTTAATGATTAGGTCCACTAGAGCGTCGGATGGCAGTTTTGTAAGACGCAAATTTTAGTTTTCTGAATCTTCTCTGTCCTATCTGATTCAGGTTGAGTACGAAGGCTTAAAGCACGAGATTAAACGGTTTGAGGAGGAGACGGTGCTGCTGAACAGCCAGCTGGAAGATGCTATCCGCTTGAAAGAGATCTCTGAGCACCAGCTGGAAGAAGCCCTGGAGACCCTGAAAAACGAAAGGGAGCAAAAGAACAACCTGCGGAAGGAGCTCTCCCAGTACATCACCCTCAATGATAACCACATCAGCATCTCTGTCGATGGGCTCAAGTTTGCTGAGGACGGGAGCGAGCCGAACAATGATGACAAAGTGAACGGGCACATCCACGGGCCCCTGGTGAAACTGAACGGAGACTACCGGACTCCCGCTTTGAGGAAAGGAGAGTCGCTGCACCCTGTCTCTGACTTATTCAGTGAGCTGAACATTTCAGAAATACAGAAACTGAAGCAGCAATTGATGCAGGTAAGAACTTTGTTTAGGGCTCTTCGAGTGAATTGCTTATAGATTGCATACATAGCATGTTGTGGGGTTTCTTATTCTTACGTGTTAGCTCCAGATTAGTTTTTAAAATATTGCTTCTTCAACTAGCAACCTTGAAAGTGCAGTATTTTAGAAAGACACAACAGAAGACGTGTTGAGAAATCTCATGTGCATTGCTTTAAGAAATTTATCTTAGAGCCACAAATTAGATTGCTGTCAGGAGCCAGAGAGACAGCAAGCATCTTAATACATGTCTAACAAAAGAATTCAGAAACTTTATATACAAGGAAAATGATAGAAAATGAACTTTCCTATCATAAGCAATTGTATGGATAGCTTCAAGAATAGTGGTTACATTTCACAGCAAAACTTTAAGCTTTAAAAGGCACAAAGGACTTTCTATATGCTAACTAGCCAGGATACCATATGATTAAAAATCCAGAACAGGTATAAATTTGAAACCAAGAAGTTCTAATTCCAACATAAACTGGGCCTTAAATTTTAGCATCTTCCGATCAGATGCCTCTTTTAAGTGCCATGTTTAAGCTTCTCTCATTGTAAAATGGCTTTCTGGTTGGAGTCTTGCCTCTGCCACACCTTCATCCAGTGCTGATGGAAATCTTGCCTGAGGAACATCACCACCGACACTGTCACCTGGCGGCTTCTTGCAACTACAGATTGTTGGGCTCCACACAGATCTGCCGAACCGAGAATCTAGTTCAACAAGATTGTTGGGTGATTAAGTTTGAAGCTTAATCTTCAGCCTGTTATCCCTCGAGGTTCTTTGCATATAGTTGATAATTAGAGGCTGGTAAGACTCTGGCAATCATTTGTGTTTATAGCAAACAGTATTTAAAATGTTCTACCTCTGCAGAAATTGATGACTAAAGAATGAGATTAGCAGAAATAAATAAGAGGCTAGAGAACGAATAAAGTTAATTTATTATAAGGCTTATTTTTAATACTACATCAAGGGTCAGCAAATCCTGCACTTCACTTGCTCAGCGCTTTGGGCTGCTAAGAGAGAATTTGTTTTTACAGTGATTAATTTGAATCAAGATAAGAAGGCATGGCCACTGGAAGAAGATGAATTTCATATAGGCTTTTACCTGACTGCAAAGCCCAGTTCTGTGTAGATAATACTTTCCTTTATCTTTTTGCTCAGTTTACACTAATACAAGTAGGTTGATACTGTGTGTGTAGGGGGATATTTCCCCTCTTTTCCTTCTTAGGTCTTACCTAAGAATTAAATTGACGTGAGAGAGCCCTGGCCGATGAGGTTCAGTTAGTTGGAGCGTCATCCTGTACACCGAAAGGTCTCAGGTTCGAATCCTGGTCAGGGCACATAGCTCGGGTGAGGGTTCGGTCCCTGGTTGGGGCATGTACAAGAAGCAGCCAATTGCTGTTTTTCTCTCACCTTGATGTTCTCTCTCTCCCTTCCTCTCTCTAAGATCAGTAAACATATCCTCGGGTGAAGATTTTTTTAAAAATTGAGAGAGATTAACAGGAAAAAATAACTAAGTTTATTACATATGCACATATGGGGGTTCCATAAGAATATGGGGCCCGAGGACAAGTGGGGCAGTTGAGGCTTCTATGCTTTCTGGACTGAGGAGGGTGAGGGGGTCCGGGAGGGCTAAGGGAAAGTAGGCAATTCACTGGCAGATGAGAAAATGTAAGCATTTGGTAAACAAATTCTTGCTGGCCACAACCATGGGACAGAGGGTGGTCTACCAAATGGGCTGTGTTTGGTTCCTCCCTGTTGGCCACACTAAGTTCATATTAAGCTAAGGTGATAGCTCCCTTCCAGGATTCCTTTAGGCAGGTAAGGGGAAGAAAAAGGGATCTTCCAAAGTCTTTTGTTTCTTAAAAACAACTAGCTTAAAGTAATCAATATCCAAAAAAAAAAAAGTATGCTCTGGGGTGTTAGACTCTGTTTCCCCCACCCCATGGGGTCAGCGTTAGCACTGAATGATCAAACATTTCTGTAGCGAAACACATGAGTATTCACACTAACAGCAAACGGTGAGGACCCTAAGAGGCCTCCCATCAGTCAGGTGCAGTTTTGCTGCCCAGGGAATTTAATTCTGTCTGAATGTTGCCACCAAGTGAGGTCTGATCAAACTTTTTTTAAAGGATTTTGCGATTGTGGCTGCTGTTGGTATAGCAATTGCTGTACTATTAGACAGCTGTCAATTTAGTATGTCTCAGCTTATAACATCAGCGTACTGTGGATGTGAGAGTTTTTATTTTCAGACTTCTCTTTTCTCTCAGGATTTCTTTTGGCCAGGGCCTGAAATACTGCATGCGAGGAAGAGCTGTGTGCCTTCAAATGGAACCCTGCGCTTGGTTAATGTCGATAGTTTGTGAAGCTGTCAGGGGGCACAGGTGGGGATATTCACCCTATGCCAGGAATATGCAGTTTTTAAGATTTTCTTCCTTAGGATTAAAGACACTCATTGAAAACAGCATATCAGGCCAAAGCCTTTTGTTATCTTACAAGATTCCATCTATGCGTGTGAATTATGTTTTCCTATCCATGGGTATTTACTTAATCTGGTTCTGAAATAGAAAAAAAAAAATCTATGTTTTGCCTTGGGGATCAGGAATGGTGGGTGAGTTGCTTCACTTCTCTGAGACACATTCATAAAGGGAAAGGTAATAAATTAGCCCATCACTAGTTTCTATGATACTTTTGTTGGAATTAGAGGGAAAAACCAAACCAAACCATGTCCCCTTCCTTAAAATATGATACCGCCATCTGCTGGGAAATGGTAATAATATAAAAATCTATGACAACTATAATTTTTTTTACTCCTCGCCTAAGGGTATTTTTTCCATCAACTTTTAAAAAGAGTGGAAGGAGGGAGGAGGGAAGAGGGGGGAGAGGGAGAGAGAGAGAAACTTTGATGTGAGAGAAGCACATCTATTGGTTGCCTTCCCTTACACGCCCCAAAACAGGGCTGGGGATCAAACCCGCAGCTGAGGTACATGCCCTAGATCCGAATCGAACCTGCAACCTTTTGGTCCACAGCCAACACTCTAGCCACTGATTCGAACCGGCCAGGGCGGTGACTATAATTTAAACAGTGCCCCCAGCATTGTCTGGCGAAACAGCCTGCAGATAATTACCTTGCAGCCCAGGTGAGCATCCCATCTAGGCCTCCTTGTAGAGTTGTGAAGACTCTATGGGATGGTAAATATGAAAGTAGAATTTTTTAAGTTATTGGACTGGAACTGTCCATCAGTTTTTGAGGTGTCAAAAAGGTTGCCACTCCCACTTGATATAAACAGTCAATGCATAAAGCCTAGAAAGGACAGGAAGGGCAAGGGATGGTAAGCCTCTATCTAAATGTGGAGCTGCTTTTTTCTCCAGAGAAAGTCAGAGTGAACTCTTTCTTCCTAGGGTGTGCAGTAACCTTTACATAACACAAATGCATATGAATTAAAAATATATATAAGAAAACACTTTTTAAAAGAACTTTACATTTTATTTTTCAATTACCGTTTATATTCAGTATTATTTTGTATTAGTTTCAGGGGTACAGCACAATGGTCAGACAGTTATATACTCTACCAAGTGATCTCCCAGGTATTTCCAGTACCCACCCGGCACCATTCATAGTTCTTACATTCCCTGTGTTCTACTTTACATCCCCGTGATTATTTTGTAACTACCAAGTTGTACTTCTTAATCCCTTTACCTTTTCACCCAGTGCCCCAAGAAAATATATTTTATTCATCTAAGAGTCCCAAAACTTGACAATAGACCTTGATAGTGAACAACTCAGTTAGTGTCATTCTTTATTTTCTAAGAGACATTTTTCAGGGTATTACTCGGTAAATTATTTTGGCTTTTTGGTGCCCTCAAGGCTCAGCTATTTCCGATATATTATAATTGACATTTTCCAGTAACAGTCAAGTATCTTAATTAGTTTTATTAGATTGAAAAGAAGTAGATCCTGTCTGGGAAAATGAAATTACCTAATCTGTTTAAAGGAGTTTCTATGTTTCTGCTAAAATGTTTATCTTTGATAAATAGCCTCTGTTTAACTTCATGTCACAGAGAGTCAAACGAAGCAGGAGAAAACTCTGGATTTTTTCCCCCCAGTATCACACTAGATAAACATTTTCACATGTAATGTGAGAAAACAGTAATGTTTCTATAAAGCTGAAATTGGTATGTTTTGTTGTATCATTATGGATGTGGAAGAAATATTCATATTGTTTAGACCTGCTCTATTAAAGGCAATTTTAATTTTTTCTATAATGATAGTAAGTGGTCAGTTTGCTATATGACCTGTAAGAGTTCAAAGCAATTTTTTTTATATTTGTCTAATTGGTTGGTGCTTATCGCAACTGTATGGTGTAGATAGTACTATTATTCCCATTTTACAGATAGGGAAACTGAGGCACAGGTGTTCCGTCATTTGCTCAAAGTAAAAAACCTAATAAGTGGACTTGCTATACAGAGAGTTAAGTAAATCAAATGTTATCTCTGCTTAACAAAGACTCAGAATATTCATGGGGTAAAATTATGAAAACAAGATTTGGTCAGTTACTTGTGATAAATACAAATTTCTGGTACAAAGTTGATAACTTGAGTAGTTAAAATATTATAGACTTTATAGTTTAAGATTACCATTATAACCAAACATATTTCTCAGAAGCTTTACTTTTCTACTGTATGTCAGTAAACATAAAAAGAGCATCTGTAATCACAACAGCCAGGGGAAGAGTCTATGTAGATTTTCTTAAAGAGAGCTTTATGGAGATATAATCCATGTACCATACAGCCCACCTATTTAAAGGGTAGAATCCAATGGTTTTTAGTATATTCAGAGTTGTGCAACTATCACCATTGTCAATTTTAGAACATTTTTATTATCACAAAAAGAAACAACATACCATTAACAGCCATTCCCCATTTCCCAGAACCCTCCAGCTCCAAGAAACCACTAATTTACTTTCTTCCTTAATAG